ATGACCAACAGCACAAGATGGCTAAATCTCTGCTGTTGTTTCTCTCCCACTTGCCTCTGGCCAGTCCCTGCACATGAGCAAGGAGTGGCCCAGATTACCTGCTGTGTCTTCTGCTCCACTTTGTGAGGACCCTGAGTGCACCTCACAGGCTCTAATTACCTCTAATAACCAACCTGGAACCACCYTTCTCTGCAATCCTGCTACGTACCTCTTTTCCTAGCACCACCACATGCATTTTAATGTTGTGTTCAAGATCTACTCTGATATGGTGCAGCTCTGTAACTTTGGGTCAGACAGCTCTGAGTACAAATGAGTTGTGAGCAAGAACCATGAAAAGCCTTAAATGGGGCATCTACCCATGCACCTTCCGTCTTGGCTCAGGACATGCACTTAAGTTCACTCTTTAAGCGTATTGTGGCTATCCTGTGCCTGCCTTGCACCTTGTTCATCCCGATGTCGCCTTCCCATCTCGACTCTTTGGCTTGGCCTCAAGCCTGCTTCACCCCTATGGACTTTTCTGGTGATGACTGGATCACAAGGCTGGCCCTGGCCCTGCTCTGCTGTTCTTGTTTGGGCATGGAGGACTGTGCTTCTTGTGGGCGAGGGCACTGCCTCTGTTTGGAGGCAGCCACCTGCAGCTCCACAGCCCAGTGTTGCTGTCCCTGACCCATGGGCTTCAGAGGACAAAGATGCTCAGGTGTCCTACTCACCAGAGATTCCTCCAGCTGCATGCATCCCCATGGTGACACCAATGCCAAATCCCAAATTGATGCTGAAATACTGCCCATATTCTCCTCGTCCTAAAGTCACTTGACAAGCAGAAGACAAGCCAAAGAGCTAATGAATGGAGAGAAGAAAGGGAGGAAAAAAAAAAAGAAGAAGGAATGTTAAAAGTATTACAGTTGTACTGCACTAAAAACTAAAAGTAGTACTGTTGTGATAGTCTGGGCTTCCTTGGTACTTTTTCAGAAACACTAGCAAATTTCCAAAGGCTCTCCCAAGCCTTTGTGGTTTGTCCCTATCCCCTAAGGGATAGGTACCCTAAGGCACCAGTGACAGCCCACACTGTCCCCATGACACTACAGGGGAGAGAAGGAGGCTGAAGGAGGTTTCTCACAAGCCCTATCTGACCAGACRCTGCTGTCTGGTTTCATTCAAAACTCTTCTTGTTTTTTCCTAGATGAAATGAGAAACCTCAGCCTCTTCACTTCAACCTATTTCACTTCCTTTCCATGCCCCACCTACCACTTGAATTGCCTTTTTCYTGCAGATCTTCTTCAAGAGATTGTCCACCCTGATCTGAGGCTGCCAGGAGACCAGAGGGGAGAGTTAAGCAGCAACCTCAAGCTGGGGAGCAACCACGAAGATGTGGCAGAAGAACCCTGAACTCACAACCTGCTGCTGCAAGCACTTACATTCCACCCTCCATACACACACACAGACATGCACACRTGGGCCCATCTCCTCCTTACCATCAGGATGAACATCCCCAGAGCTTCTGCCAGCATCTCCCTGACGGTCTGGTTCCGAATCGCGAGCATCTTCTCAATTTTCTYCAGCATTCTGCTCTCCGGCTCCAGCGTGCCGCTGCAAGAGTTCCTGTGGTGACAGCAGACTTCATTGTGCTGAGCTAAGTTACCCTTTGAAACCTGGCAACCTCCTCTCACCCTCTGACACCTTCACTCATTTGATTGACGATGAACAAGCCAATAAAGCAGCAGACAGCTTTAAAGTCCCTCTCCCCTGTCCCTGGTTAAATGTTGAGGATGCARCATTGCTGCTCCAGGAGCCTTGCAGKCTCTGCCAGGAGCAGTGTGCCTCCCAAAGGAGAGGCCTGGGAGCAGCCTTGCTGGGTTACTACAGCCTCTCATTCTGCACAGGTGCAGGCAGTGAACACAAATTCTGCCCCTGCTCTGCCTTTAACCTGCTGGCTGGGTGCTGGTCTCCTTTAATGGGTGGGATTAGGACTGTTTGCCTGGTTGGTTTTTTGCAGGCTGATCCTGCTCGTGCCTGGCCAGTAGTGAGGATGCTGTGTCTGCAACTGGTGTGCACCACTGTCCCTAGGCAAGGAGAAGCCAAGGGCTATAGATCTGTTACAGGTTGAATGTTTGCTCTCCCGAGGCAATTCTGCACAAATGTGTTTCCCCAGTTGAGCAGCTGGGACTCTGCTGCTCTGSCTCCGGCTGCACCAGGCACTGACTGCACCCCGTGACCACAGCACTGGTCACACTGGTGCAGAGCCTCCTCACTGAACCCTCCCTCCTGTCCTCTAACGTGGTGCTACAAGAACCTCTCTCCAGTAGGAATCCCTGGAGAAAGGCTAATAACTGGGCRGTCTGCAGAGTCCAGTGCTTGCATGGCATAGTGCCAGAGCGTCCTCATGGCAGGAACAGGGAATCAGCATAAGGAATAAGCACAGCTTCACACCTGGCCCCATAAGAGAAGGACACCTCCCATTTCCCCTGGATACCACAGSCCTCTGCTTATCTCCCACACTCAGCAATAAAATCTSTGTCTTCTGATTCCCTCTGCTTATCTTCCTGCCCACCAACTGCAATAATGCTCTTACCCCACCACTGTAAAAATGTTTTAATGCTTTTTCAATTACTCTTTCTTCAAGCACAACCCACTGAGCTGTCACCAGCTTGTCCCATGAGGCCTGYCTGGARTTCTGCTGGTTTTCTTCACTTTCATCTAAACCTACCGTAATTTTTAAGTATCTTTCTGAAAGGGAAGTGACACACAGCTCCAACAGAGTCACAGGCAGCTGCATGGGTTGGGACACAGCGTTCTGTTGAGCCTGTCCCTGGCAATGCCTCACTCTATGCTACTGCTTTACAAAAGTTCAGGAGCTTTTCTCTCACCCGCAGGACGTGCAGATGTGTGGAAGAACCTGGGAAGTTGATTCTCCTCTCTTCTCCGTGGACAAYTGACTCCCCTGAAGCAAGGAAGGGTTTTATTATCCTGGGACAAGCCCTCCTACAGCAACAAATCAGTTGTTGACCTCATCAAGGTGCCTGGCTCAATGTGCAGTAATGACTAGTCTGTCTGGGATATTAAAGAGGGCATAACCATGAGGGATGATAATTGCTTTGCTGGAAAGGGTGTTCCTGCAGCACCTTCCCACTTAGAAAGTTTTTTCTCCTTTTGGYTTGTAAGCCAATGGTACAGAAAGGGGGACCAACAGATCGTTCCAGGTCACTTCTCTTCAGTGCAGACATGAAGCACACAAACACGTGGTGGAGCCCACACACATGAGCCTGGGAGTGCCAGYCCGGAGCAGTTATGGAGCCTCACATTTCTTATGCACGTGGTGGTTTCCAGCTGTGATGTAAAGCTGAACTCCTGGCAGCGGTGTGTATTGTGGACCTACAACTTTGTTTTTCTTTCCTAGACCTCAAGGGCCTTTCAAGTAGACTCCTTCACATTACACTTTACTTACAAATAAGAAAGCAGCTGCACTGACACTGAAAGGTTTTTTCTCATGTTTCTGAGCATAGCTGTAGGTACCTCTATATTCTACTTTGGGCTGAGAAGCAGACAGGCATTTTCCAGCAATGCTGGACTCCCATGAACCTGGACTCTTCTCAAGCAAGGAGATCCCAGGTTCCAGTGGAAATATTTGGCTTAATCATTGCATTTGAGACATAATTACTGAAATCACCACCAAATTCCCTAGAACTCCTATGTGCTTCCAGGGCAGTATTTTCTTGTAGACCATCAAGCGGGAATGCATATCGATCCCAGGCCATGGGGCACATCTGAAGTGTTGGGTCAGCTGAAGCCTTCAAGGAAGATGCTTTAGCACTTTCAGTATAACGCAACCCGTGTCCAGCACCAGGCCATTTAGGATGGTCTCATGAATCTCGTCTGAGGCTGGCACTGGATGCACCTTTTGCCCCTGCCTGTCCCCTTACATGGATCGTTCCACAAGATGGCACTGAGATACTAATTTCCTCCTTAAATCTGTTTAAGCAAGATCCTGTGTTGGATGCCTAAAATGTCTGACCTTTATTTTTGGTGTTCTTCCAGACATGTTGTGCATGAAAGCAAGAAAGGCAATCCACGAAGGATTTCTCTGAATCCTTTAGGACAGAGCACTTCCCTGCTCTAACAGCATGCAAAACCAGAGTGTTTAAGTGTTTAAGTCTGAGCCTGTCACCCTGCAATTTCTTAGAAAAGGGAAGAAAGTAATGAAAGGAAAGAAGGAAAAGAAGGAAAAGAAGGAAAAGAAGGAAAAGAAGGAAAAGAAGGAAAAGAAGGAAAAGAAGGAAAAGAAGGAAAAGAAGGAAAAGAAGGAAAAGAAGGAAAAGAAGGAAAAGAAGGAAAAGAAGGAAAAGAAGGAAAAGAAGGAAAAGAAGGAAAAGAAGGAAAAGAAAGAGGCAGCCTCAAAAGGTGAATCATCCCCATCYAGAATAGGCATCTGAGGCCAGTTCTATGAGTCACTCCTGCAGCTGGCAGCTTCCCTGCCATGTCTCCATTGCGGGTGTGGAGGGATTGGCTCCAATGTGCCCAGCTACAARGCAGGGATCCAGTGCCACGTGAGCTGGACTGCCCTTACTATCTACAGCCAGATGTAATAATCGTGAATGAGTGCAAACAGCCACCTGTGAGTCAGCTAAGGGCTGGAGAGTGAAGATTTACTCATTGTCCATCACCTCACATTCATACTTGCATGGTTTCACATATCTGTAAGTCTGATGAAGATCTCTGCAGTGTGCTGTCAGGACTACTAATAAAAATCTCCGTTCAGTGCAGAAAATCTTGGCACTGTGAAGCCCACTAAGGATGCTGCTGTTGGTATATATTATATATTATATATTATATATTATATATTATATACTATATACTATATACTATATACTATATACTATATACTATATACTATATATTATATATTATATAAAGTGCTAGGAGAATGGTTCCCCTAGGTCCCACCGCACCAGCACTGGGAATGCTGAGCTCCTACAGACCCAGGGGAGTCACGCTTCTGTGAGCAATAACTGCTCGGTTTCAATTTGACAGCACACACGTTTCCTCTTCACCCAAGTGTTCATTTATCTCTTATTTGCGCTAATCAACAGCTGTAACTTTGCCACTCCATTAGCTTCAGTCCTGCTGGTAGAACATTAACTTTTTGTTAACCAGAGGCTGAAAGGAGCACAAACAGCCTGAAAGGAGCATTAGCACAGCAGAGAAGCTCATCACTGTGGGATGAGGACAGCTTGCTACCTCTTCAGGCTAATCAAGCMCAGGATTAGCCCTGGCATCAAGACATCTCCATGCTCCTTTGGGAAGCAAGGCCAGACTCTGATCCCAAAAGGAACAGGCTGCTGAGCTGCATGTCCATGGTCTCATTTCCTGACCAGGGAGTACTTGGACTGRGCTAACAGCTGCCTTAGCTCCCTTCTCCTCTGTGGTCATCATCTGCATGGCCAGGCCTTACAGAGACTCCTACAACAGCTCTGATGTGGCCTTAACTGGTAGGACCAACCCCACCTGATAAATCCTCTATATCTGCATCACACTGTCTCACATTAATGTTCATGGTGTTTCTCCTCTCACTTTCAGTTGACAAGCACTGATCAAGTAGCACAGGCACCTAATATTTGTCTCTAAGCAGATGGCTTTGCTCTGTGTGCTGTTATGTACCTTCCTGTTCCTAGGACACCAGTCTCGAAGGCTGTCAGATCATCCCGAATGTCATCGCCCCTTGTTCTAAAGCTGGCCAAAGGTTTAACATCCACACATCCCATCAGAACGACCATCACTTCTGCACTGGACACACCAATGAAATAATGGATGCCATCAGCATCAGGAAGGGCTAAAGAGAGCTTCAGCATTTCCCCTGTCAATACAACCCACTTTACAGTTCCTGTTCTACCCACAATCTTCCCCATCTCAGGTAGGAGATGACAGAAAAAAATATTATGGCTTCTACCTTCCATTCGAGCAGCAATTCGTACAATTCCTACTAATTTTCAAAGCACTCTTGTCAGGTGTTCCTTCTCTCTAAAATGAGACTGGCTCTTACCTTGTCAGACTGAAGTGAGCTTCAAAGGGTTTTTCAGACGTAGATGGTAACACAAAGATGGGAGTCTCTTCTGGGCTGCAACCCTCTGTTTCACTCACGGCATGCATGGTGAGGAGGGTCAGAGCCTTCCTGCCCCAGATTGCTTGAGCTATCTCGGTGAGAGATAATCCCTGAGACAATGGTGTCAGCTGGACGAGAATTACATGGCTTTTATTGCTCATTAGAAGGAGAGCATGGTTTTAGAGCTGTGTAGGAAGGGATCACAAGGGGATTTTATCCACATAGTACACAACAGGCTCTGTGAGCACCACAGGTGCCCATCAGAACAGAGGCATCATTGTTGGGTGACAGAGTGGAGAACCAGGTGCACAGGATATGTGGGTTCTCCCTAGCCTCACCCACAGCCCCCTATCCCTGTCTACCCTCCATCAAGGAGGGACAACCATACCTTCCTGCACTCCTGCTTCCACTCTGCTTCTGCTCCCATCCTTTCGCCATCCAATCCCAGCCCAGCCCAGCCCAGCCCATCCCATATGGTCTACTCACACAGGCCCCTTTGAACCTCAGACTAGCAAAAGAGAGACTGTTGAGGAAATTTGGAAAAAAAAGAGGGGACAGCGTTACTTCTGGCTGCAGAAATGCCCAGATCATTTGCCGTCATGGGGGAATACCTTAAGAGCACATTTTGCTGGAGCTGCAGCCTTCTTCTTTGGTCCTTGTCTTCTTGTTTCCCGTCCTCTTTGTCAGGGTCACATACACACAGGGCATCTCTCATCTCATGGGCTTCTCATCCAGTCAGTTGCTGTTCCTCTTGGCTTTTTTTTTAAAGACAGAACTGTGTTATTTTATGCACGGCAAAGCATGATGATTTTTGAAGTCCCTCACTGTTTTTTGATCGCTTTTGGGTCTAGAGAATCTGATCTCTTGACCCAACAAAGTTGAAAGCCTCCCCCATTCATGCATGTATGGCATTTAAAGAGAGGGAGAAACTGAGACARAGGGACACTTAAGGTCTTGGCAAAAATCACAGGAGATTTGGGGCATCCTTGGGATTTCAGCCTGCATTTCAAACTTTTAAGTTCAGCCAATACACCACTTTTTATTTATTGTCCTTTTATCCATCTTGCTGTGTCTCCCCTCCCTGCAGTCAACCTTCCACTGTGTATGGTGGCTCCCTATGTGTTCAGGATGGCCAACAGGATCATCTTCACGCCTGCCTCTGAGCACTGCTGCAGAGGGGTTCCCCGGGTCCTGCAGGCTCTGGCAGTGCAAGCTTCCCTGGGGRGATGTGAGTCTCCTGCTTTGGTCTGTTTTCAGTCAATAGATAAGGCAAAATTCAGGGAAACCACAGGACTCATAGAGCTTCATCCCCCTAGAGATAAGAGAAGCCAGACTTCTGGAGGAGCGTGAGCAACAGAACACTGAAATTAGGGAAGAGAGATTAAAGGTAAAAAGCTGATTCCACGGCAGAGGCATCTGATTGTTTGTATGGGCTCTCAAATTTCAGTCTGACGCATCCAGAACTTGATCTGAAAATTTCCTTGTATGTCTATATAAAATAAGCATATATTATATATTGTTAGCATGAAGATAAAGCCTTCGGTAGCTTCATTACCCTTTTCTTGGAGGAGCTAAGAATTAAGAAAGAATTAAATTAGAATATTATATCAGAAAATGAAGATGAGATTGAAAAAAAAAARRAAAAAAATGCATTTTGAAGACAGTACTAAATMCATCTGTAGTTTAAGAGCCTTGCATTTCTTCCAAAACCTAGGTCTCACCAACACAAACATGTTCATATGACACCCATCACCTGGGTGCCAAAACGTCATCTAGTGGCCAGTGTGACTAATGCCTGCAATGAATTTTGCAGAGTTTATTCCTTATTCTCTCCACAGGAGAGGTGCATCCATGAGGCTCTGCCTTGGGTAACTGGAGTTTATCCACCTGATTTTAAACCTCAGACCATTTCTTCAAAGGAAAGTAGATCAAAGACAAGGCCAGGGAAGTGGGGAGGTTTGTAGCACTGTGAAAGATCTCCCTTATAGGGTAGATATCAGTTTGGTGCTATCTCCCAGGCCTCCTGTGGTTCATTTCAGACAGCAGGAGCTAGAAGGGAAGTGCTATGGCAGGACCCACAGAAGAGGTTGGCATTTGGTGCCTATGGCTTGCCTCCCATGTCAGGCACTCCAGAAGAGCTGGCAGGGATGACAGGGAGGATCAAGAAAGACTGAGAAAGGACAGGGAGCAGGCAGCCAAGATGGCCGTCACAATCTAAAGAGCTCCTGCCAGCGTGGAGGTGAAGGTATCCAAAGGAAACCTCTAATAAACCTCTAAATCCCTATCACAGTGAGAAAGAGATGCCGCAGATTCTTTGCAGACACACACAGATCCCCTTGGATGAGGCCCAGGCAGCTGGACCAGGCCGTGACCTTCTCCTCWGGGCCCAGAGAGACCAGCAAGCATTACAGCAGGGAGGAGGTTTGTGCCAGCCTCAGCATAGACCCCCACTGCCTTCACACCCCACATACCCCAGCTCCTCTGCCAAAGCCTCTTTGATGTCTCTTTCTGGAGGGGGTTATCCTCTGCTCAAAAAACAAGCTGGCTTTCAGAGTTAGATCCAGCTCTAGCGTTACAGCAGGTCATTCAGGACTGCAGCCAGCTGAGTTCTGACTACTTCCAAGGATGGAGATTTCACAACCTCTCTGGGCTCCTGTTTGACTAACTTCACAGAGAATTTTTTCTTTCCTAATATCAAATCAGAATTTCCCTGTTGCAACGTGTACCTCCTGCCCTTTGCCCTACTGTTGCTCACCTCAAATAAACTCCTAGCAAATAGCTGAAGCTAGCAAGAAACCCCTGGTGARAGTCTTCTTAAACCTGAATTTCCTTCCCTTGGCCTATCCTAATCTGTCCCATGCTCAGCCCCAACCACATTGCTTAAGTGCCTCTGCATCCCTGGTCATGGGGGGTTCCGAGGCAGATGCAGGACTGCAAACAGTCTCAGCAATGCCCTCAAGGGGAGGATTCCCTTACCTGGCCTTGGATGCAGCCCTCAGGCTAAAACAGCTCTGGTTGCTGTGGACCTTCTTCTTCACCACTGGGGTTAGCAGGGATTTGTGCTGGACAAGGCGTCCATCAGGTGTGACCTCCAGGACCCAGCAAACTGCCAGCCTGGCTCGCTAGATCAGCTTTGGGTGCTCATGAGTCAAAGCACACCATGGCTATTTCCAGCTCTGGGCACCACCACTCACCTTGCTTTCTGTTTGCTTTAGCTTTTGTTTAGCTACCAGGAAAGAAAGATGAACCTCACAAGTTGTGTGAAATTGCCCTGGAAAGGAAGCCAAGTTGTCCTCTGACAGTGTCCTCCATACTGCCACCTAATCCCCATGCTTTACCCTGGAAGGAGTTGGATGTGCTGGAGACCTGTGCTATGGAGACCATAAGCTGTGTATCGAGCTTAGCTGAGAGAGCACAGCCAGGCTAACTGCGGTGTTCAGGGAAATGGGAGGCCACTTGCTTCGTGCTCAGAAAYAGAAAACCAGCAGGATTTACCAACAAGTTCTTGATTTGCTGAGTTGTGGGCTGGATTAAATCCTGAGATTAAATGAGTCCACATGAAATGTGTTCCTCACTCTGCTGTTATCTATAATGGTCACTACTCCCCACTGCCCAATGGGTGGGGACAGGGAAGTCCTTAGTGGATGACCATGACACCCAGTGCAGAAGCAATGTGGGGACAGGAGGCAAAAGAGACATTTGCAACAGTGTGGTATGGGGTCTTTATCAAAGCAACTGTCTCATCCTAGTGCTAGAATCACCAACAACTCCTGTAACCCCAAGTCACCCACCTCCCTGCCCATGGAGGACCTCCTCCATGCAAGGCAGGCACTGACTGCTCCCTGTCCTGGGAGAGCCAGGGATCACTTTCCACTTCACCACCAAGTAAGGCCAGCAGGTTGGAGACGCCCTCCAAAGAGCAGCTGGGAGAGTCCTTCACACACAAACATTCACACACACTCTGCACACGTACAACAAGTTAGGCTGGTAAAACAGCTCCCTCCATTTGCAGGAACACTTACTGCAATGCCTGGAGCAGTGCAGGAATTTAACGGCGTTTTACATAATGTAAATGCTTTAGAAGAGTGAGATCTATTGCACTGTGGCAGTCTCCCTTCTCCTTCCTCATAGGAAGTGCAGGAAGCCATATCACATGCGTCATTCAAGAGCAGACTAGAAGCAAAAGGCACCTGAAAACTTGCCAAGGGGAACAGTTGTGCTCTGGCTGAGGCAGTAAATAACTGACTTTGCCTTGTTCACCTCATATTTTATTGTGTCCGCCGTTTGCACAGTGCTTCACAGGGAAAGTGTCCTAACAGAACAGAGTCTGCTCCCTGCTTCTTCTGCTTGCCACTTCATCCCAGTGTGAAGGGATCCAGGGTAAGAGAAACTCTGCAAAGGAAGCTTCTTGCCTACAACTTCACACCATAGCCCATGGGGTTTGCCATATCGCCTCCAAGCTCCCATTCCTTTCCCTTAGACTGGTGGTGCTTGGGAATTTAGGATGATAGTGAATTTCTCCCAAAACATAAGGCCTCTTTCAAACCTTTACCAGAAATCACCTTATGAAGGAGGAAAAGGGAGAAGCTTACAAATGGCAGTTCTGTGAAATACAGTTCATCTCTTTTATGCAGCCACAGAGACATGCCTGGCTTCATGACAATCTGCTTGGATTGCAAATAGACCCTCAAACATATGTGTTTGTTCAGAAGCTTTGAATAAATTCTGATTAGCTGTTATTCCTGCCATATAATTACGCCGTGTTCTGCGAACTATAGCTCATTCGCAGGTACTGTGAAAATAACCCATTACATACTCCTTATGCCCATGGGCAATGACTTGATGGAAGAACTCTTTCCCTGTTCAGCATCTGCACAGAATAAGATATGAGCCAGCAGTGGCAAATACATATGTTGTTTTAGGTTGTCTACGCTGGGGAAAAACATATTCAAAACATATTCATAATTTGCATCTCTTCATTCACACTTACTAGCAGGTTAAAAGATCAATTAAGACATAGAGGTTAATAAATCATAGTCACCTTTAGGTTCACAGAAGGCTGACTCTCATCTAAACTCCAAGTTAAAAGCTTGAAGTATTTTGTCTGTATTGCTCTGGCTGTATTAACTAACCCATAAGGAACAAAATAAATTAAAAATCCATTTATTTTATCCTTTATTTTTGGC